TCTTTGTGAATGTTGGTTTCTGCTTCTCCCGGCGGGGGGGGGGCGTTCAGTTTGTTGCATCACATTTAATATTCATGCCTCTAAGACTGCACATAAGGTGGTCTCTACCTCTATCTTTGCTCTCATTTTCCCTCACGCTCCCTGCTTATTGTGGGGATTTTTCTTTTCCTAATTACTTTCTTTTTTTCCCCTCCCCTCTTCTGTACCTGCCCCCATGACTAGGATAGACTATTTTGTCATTCGTTAGTAGCTCCCTCTTTCCTTAAAACCCATTTCTTCACGCAGTCTTTTATAAGTGATCCCTATACTCTCTCTCTGAATTGAACTTAATCTTTTGAATTGTAAACTCCACAAGGCAAGGATTGTATCATTTTCTGGTTTTGTACAGTACCAAGCACGCTGGTGCTGAGCGAGTGATATAACAACTAGGGCTGTCGATTAATCAGTTAACTCATGCAATTAACTAAAAAAAAAAATAATAATTGCGATTAATTGCAGTTTTAATCAAACTGTTAAACAATAGAATACCAATTGAAATTTATTAAATATTAGTGAATGGTTTTTCAACATTTTCAAATATATTGATTTCAATTACAACACAGAATACAAAGTGTACAGTGCTCACTTTATATTATATTTGATTACAAATATTTGCACTGTAAAAATAAAAAATAGTATTTTTTAATTCAGCTCATACAAGTACTATAGTGCAATCTCTAGCATGAAAGTGCAATTTACAAATGTAGATTTTTGTTATGTTACAGAACTGCACTCAAAAACAAAACAATGTAAAACTCTAGAGCCTACAAGTCCACTCAATCCTACTTCTTGTTCAGCCAATCGCCCAGACAAACAAGTTTGTTTACATTTACAGGAGATAATGCTGCCCGCTTCTTATTTACAATGTCACCTGACTGTGAGAACAGTCGTTAACATGGCACCTTTGTAGCCAGCATTGCATGGTATTTACGTGTCATACATGCTAAACATTAATATAATATGCTCCTTCATGCTTTGGCCACCATTCCAGAGGACATGCTTCTATGCTGTTGATGCTCGTTTAAAAAAAAAATGCATTAAATTTGTGATTGAACTCCTTGGGGGGAGAATTGCATGTCTCTGTCTTTTCTTTTTTTTTTT